ATAACTTGTTTGTAAAACGGACAGCACGTCAGTTTCAGGAAAGATGACACCGGTTTTATGCATGACATGCCAAATATCCTGAAGCCCTACAAAAAAAAAGGTACAAGTATATTGTGTTGTAAATATCGCAAAAAGTCGTAATATTGTATAATGTATTAGTTGCATGTTGTATTTTGATAAAAATCACTGTGTAGTTTTTCAAAAATATAATGGAAAAAAGGAGAGAAAAACAAATATCACAGTATGTTGAAAAATGTGAAAAAAGTAATGTTTTGTTAAAATAACATGAAAGAAATCAAAGTAAAGCATCTAAAAACATGTATTTAAAAAAAAAAGTTATGTTAGTCAAGTCAAGTTATCAAAACCGCATTGTTTCATCGAAACAGTGTTAAAATCACAAACTCTCCATTTAGAGTTTGATTCTTTAAGAAACTCATTTCATTACAAATTAATGAATATTTGACCAAGTTATAAAGTTTTGCATCCATTAAAGTGTAACTATAAGTATCTTTGTAGGAGAAAAAACAAAAATAATTTAAGTTATTTCCAGAAAACTGGATTGTCTTACTAGAAAATGCCTTTAAGAGTCACAGTCTTAAAGAAAATCTGTTCAGAAAAAAGTACTACCTTCACTTTTTGTAACTCTTTCTCATAAAAAGTCCCCTTGATCTCTTCTCCATCATAATCTTTGAGTTTGTAAACAGATGGTTGACGAGGTATGCGTTCGGACGCCGTAAATAATTAGTCGGTATAACTCTGTTCATATTTTTTATCACCTTGGAAATTCTTACAATTTCCCCCTCCTTAAAGTTCATTTTCGTAGCACCTTTCCCCTACTGATGCTAGTGACCCCCCTTTGTATGCTAATTACCCCTTTGTTCGAGTTGTTATCACATGTAGGTGTGTTCAGTTAAACACTGAGATTTTCAACATACTACTCTACAAAATGATTTTTTCATATTCTTTTGACAAACTATACTTGACTTTTTTACGGAAAATCATGACAAACTTTAATGTGACTTATTCTTAAATTTGCCACACTAAAGTAAGACTTGAAAATACTATATCGTTGTTTTTTAAATTATATTTCAACATATAAAACAGAACTTTTGTTTGTGTTAACATAACATTGACTGGCTTTTCCTTGATAATTTCAACATGAAATACTATGAGTCAAAGTATAGTTTGTCAGAAAAAAAATATGTATATATATGGAAAAGTCATTGTGTACAGTAGTATGTTGAAAAACAAAAACAAAAAAGAAAACTCAATTCATTACAAAATAATGAATATTTTACCAAGTTATAAAGTTTTGCATCCATTAAAGTGTAACTATAAGTATCTTTGTAGGAGAAAAAACAAAAATAATTTAAGTTACTTCCATAAAACTGGATTGTCTTGCCTTTAAGAGTCACAGTCTTAAAGAAAATCTGTTCAGAAAAAAGTACTCAACTTTCTACCAGTTGTAAAGTTGTCATACATAAAACTGTATCCAAAAAGTAAGTGAAAGACAACGGGAGAAAAAAAAAAAAGTGTTAAAATCACCAATTTCCCTTTTAGAGTCACAGTCTTTAAGAAAATACATTTGTTACAAAGTAATTGACATTCTACCAGTTGCCAAATGTTCCTACATAAAAGTGTATCAAAAAAGTATCTTGGTAGCTGAAAATAACTAAAATATCAGAGAAAACCTACATTATTTAACTGTACAAGTGTTTTTAAAAATAAAAAACGGGGTATTGAAGAAACCCCCATTCCTTACAAAGTACTTCATATTATACCCTTTTGTTAAGTGTTGCATACATCAAAGTGTATCTAAAAGTATCTTGGTAACACAAGAAAAGAGAAAAAAGTCAAAATCGGCCTTGTGTCAGTAAATAAGTGTTAAAAATCACAAACTTGCCTTTTAGAGAAACAGTCTTTAAAAAAAAAAATCTAATCAGAAAATGTACTTCATGTTCTAGTTTTAAGGTTTTGCATACCTCAAAGTGTGTCTAAAAGTATCTTGGCAAGAGAAAAAAGCCATAATCTGCCTTGTGTCAGTGAATAAGTGTTAAAATCACAAATTTATAGATAAGCTAGAGGCTATTTTAGATTTGTCAATTGGAGTTAAAGGGTTAAATAACATTTTCAAACTGCTGTTCATAGTTACTGGATACAGAACGAACCTCATCATTATCTCGATTTTCTACTTCCATTTTTATTTAACAGTGAAACGTCTTATTTTAGTACAGTCTAGTCAGAGGAGTTAATACTATTACTATATATGAAAGCAAAAATAAAACACATTTTCATTTGTTATGGTTGTTTAATTGAAAAACACACCATTCGCCACATTTTCAGAAAGACATATTACATTTGACCAAGTTAATGTCGTAGTGCATACAAGGTAATAGACTTAACGATTTGCACTGCTGCTTCTCTCCGCGTTTCATTTACAGTGATCGGTTTATCGTTCAATTCACATTGCCCAAGTAGATGTTTAGGGGTCTCTTGGAAGTAAATGAATGCATTTTTTATATCAGATAAGTGCATTAACATCACTTGCAAATTCTCTATCCTTTTACCCGCAACGATTATACTATTTACATAATCTAGGGAAGCACACCAGTAAATGTAGCCTCATGTAACTTCATATAGGGATTCTTTAATAGTTGTGTGAAGTAATTAAACAATAAGGGGGTATTAAGATCTTTAAATTATAATTTTCCTCTCAAAGAGACTTCGTTGTACGCACACACACAAAACAACATTAAATAATGACATGATATTATAATGATAAAGGTACTTACCAGAGTTTTTCCATATCAGATCCAAATCAAGCCTCATTGTCTCCACCCCAGAGTTCCCGTTAGCCGGTAATTACCGGACTATGACCGGTAAAATATGCTGAAGACCGGCAAATCTAAATCTCTCCGGTCAGAATGTCCGGTCAAAATGATATCCCCTTAGCGCAATACCGCATCAGTTGCGCCACTTATGTGACAGACAAGAATAGTATGTGACAGACAAAAGAGTATGTGACAGACAAGAATAGGCAATTATAATGTCTACACATAATGTGGAGAAAGAGATGTCCTGTATGGGTTGATTGCGCGTTGATCTGTTGGTAATGCCTCGGGGTTCCGGTGGGCATGTAAACAAAATGCATAATGCTGTGCTATACTTTGTGGCCTCACCCCGTTGCATAGCGACGCTTATTGTTTAGGTGTCTTTTAATAAGCAGGTAGTCATATCATTAGCTAGAACTAGCTAGATCTGATCGATATGGACATAAACGCGAGTAAAGTCTAATCTGACGGGAGAGACCAGCTGCTGCTGACGAGTCAACACGCATCTCTGCATGATCCCCTGCAGCGGTGAGCGGAACAAAACACACACTTCAGGTTAGAATATCACACGTAGCTATTTTAATTACCTCTCAAACTACCTAAACTAGTTATAGATATGTGTAGTTTTACTGTCGGGTCACTCATTATTGGATCCGTGAGCTGCATGATACTGGCGTGTTGTCAGGAGAGGGGGAGAGCGCTCCGTTTATTATTCCCGTGTTATTGTAAATTACTGTACACGTTTGAATAGTTAATTAATCTATTATAATTAGTTTGTTTAATATCATATCATATCAATTTGTTTCAAAGCTCAATAAATAACATAGAAGACCTTTGACCGGCACTTTTCTAATTTTGTCCGGAAGATTTAAACTGTAATGGACATGTTGACCGGACAGGAGGGGGGAGAAGGAGGGGGGTGTGGAGGGGGGAGAGGGGGACCGCTAGACAGGGGGGAGACAGGGGGGATGTGACACCTGTACGTCATAAGGATATAACGGGCAGGTGCGATATCGCACCTGCATGTTATAACACCTCGAACAAAGGAGGTCATTAGCATATCAAAGAGGTGTGACCTGTCAGTTTTTTATGCATACTAATGAGACGAAAGCAGGATCATTATTACTACTCCCAATCTTCACTTGTATATCACCGGTCCATGCCTCAACAGCTCTACGTCAAATCTGAAATCTCACCATATGCCGTTTCCATGGAAACGCATCCCTCGCCATAAAACATGATGTCCCTTTAACTCCTATGAAAATGTTCAAAAAGTGCTCAAAATTCACATGTGTGCTAACAGTCCAGCCGTGAAGACATCTACAAGACAGTTTTGAGATTTCTTCAAATGCCGTTGCCATGGCAACACAATGTTCGCCATGAAACACGGTTTTCTCATAACTTCAGTGAAAATGCTTCAAACGGCCCAAAACTTCACAGGTTTGGTAACGATGCAGCCATCAACGCATCTAAGCATATTATGGGGTGTCATCAAATGCCAATGCCATGGCGACAGACCACTCGCCATGAAGCACGATGTTGCTGTAAGTCCAATGGAAACGGTCCGATCGTCCCCCACACTTCGCTTGTATATCACCGGTCCAGCCCTCAACAGCTCTACGTCAATTATGGGGTTTCTTCAAATGCTGTTGCCATGGCAACACAATGCTCGCCATGAAACACGGTTTTCTCATAACTTCAGTGAAAATGTTCCAAACAGCCCAAAACTTCACAGGTTTGGTAACGATGTAGCCATCAACGCATCTAAGCGTATTATGGGGTGTCATCAAATGCCGTTGCCATGGCGACAGATCATTCACCATCAAGTTAGTTCAAAAGTTTGCAGTTCAAATATTCTGCTGCTTTTCCAAGCCTTTTTACTTTCTTTTCTTCACTCATCACACATTCAAGTCCCCAGTGTTCATGTATCATTTCAATCTAAATTCTTCACTTTCTTTTTACACATTACATTTCAGCATAGCAGTTTAGCGTCAGCTTTTCAGGATAAAGCATTCCCACTAGCAATTTATTCAGGAATTGCCTTCTCTAGTTTCATCTGTTGTTGATTGTTCAAGTTTTACAACTAAATGTAAAAATAAAACACAAAAGAATATTTCTATTGTAAATGAGCAAATCCTGTTTGGCAGATTTGCAGTTGTGTGTACTCACAATAAGGAATGGAAAGACAAGTCCCAGCAAAGCGAAGAAAAACCAGCGTTGGGACCCAATGAGGACAAAAGCTGCCATCCGGTCGCTCTGGATGAAGAGCTCAGTGTGGAGAGTACCTGTGGTTCCCCCTGAGAGAGCAGAGACATACAGGTGTTAATTATCTGTGCAAGTAAACGTCTTAAACTTAGGCCCCGGCCACACGGAGACGAAACGGGTTGTATCCGCTACAGTTCTCTATCGTATAGACAGTTCGTCCACACGAAGCCGACAGGGAAACGCAGATAACGATAACGCTAACGATAATGGCTCCCAAGGTGGGTAGATCTGCGGACGCAACGCTCTGGGGGGCCTAACGGCTCCGTGTGTACGCCCTATACGATCATTTCCTGATAACGATGACGCCATAGCCCCGCCTCTCCCCACCTCTGCTGCTCACCCCCCTCGTCACCCCGCGTCATTGCTGATGTGTTTCGCCAACAACAATAACAATGGCGGATGACAGGGTTGCTTTCGTGCTTCAGACGCTACTGACCATGCTACAGATGTTAGTGCAAAATCTACAGCTCCTCTACCACAACCATCAGCAACAAGTGGACATGGAGAACAACATGAACTACATGTTGCTAAATCCACCGCGGAGAATAAACAGAAGGGCAACCAGGCAACCATGCTCGGGGGGGTCTTATTCGCTGCTTTTGGTGTATTTTGTGGCGGAAGTACAGCGCCACTTACAGGCCCGGCATATGTACTACAGTGTTTCCAGCGGGTCGAGCGGTCTCGTGTGGACGGACACGTTTCTTAAGACTTTTTTGATATCGAATTCGGTTTGTTTTCGTTTTCGTCTCCGTGTGGCCTTAACTGCTGTGGGAAACTTACCAGGTCCTCCGCAATAGAAGATGATGAAGAGGATGATCAAACTAGCCGTGATGTATGGAACCCGCTCGCTGGAATCCTGCATGAGAAGAAAATGTTGCATGTGAATCTTAAAACTGTCTGCTTTACTAAAAATCAAGATCATTAAAAAAAATTGCTGCCTTTGCACAGTGCAACGATCAAAGGTAAGAGGTTTATTTTTAAATACACTTTCACAGCTTGCATTTGCTACATGTCACATCTGAAAAGGTCAGTTACGGCATCCACCGCAATAAAATGTAATTTAATTTGTAGTACAGGGACTATTTCTTTGATTGAAAGTAGTTCCAGTGAGTCTTTAGTGTCCTTCAGTCCTCCTCAGATTATCTCAAAGATATCTCAAAGTCTGAATGTCTTGAAACTACCAAGGCTAAGAAAATGTGCTCAGGTGGGTACAATGACCCTTTAAAGAGTATCTTCTGACCTCTCACACAGCTGTGTAGATGTCCGTGTCTAAAGGTTTACCTTCAGGTTGAGCGTTACAGTGACAAACACCAAGCTGGCACCCATGACACCATAACCGCCCCAGAACAACGGCCTCCTCCCAATGTGCTCAATCATCAACAGGCCCTGGGAGATAAAAAAAAGATTTAAAATTTGACAAAAATGGTTATCCTGGGCATGAAAGAGGGCCTAAGCCATGAGTGCAATGAAGATGTGGAGATAAGGAGCTCATGTTCACTCACACAGGAGATGGAGGTGATGATTTCAAACACTCCGAGACAAAGAGTTACGTAGCGGATTTGGTCTCTCGGTAGGCCTGCCTTCAGGAAGATGTCAAAAGAGAAAGTACTGATCTGGGAAAGAGAGAAGCATTGGTTGATAATCGTATTGTTTAAGATGAATAAAGCTCTTTTGGATGCCGTGATTCCATCCTTACCGTGGACATGCCCGACAGCTGGTTGGACCAGTAGATGATGGACATGGTGAGAAGCTGCCATCGGACAGTCCTGTCCCTCAGCAGTTGCAGAGGGGTCTTTGGTGGCGCTGCATTGATGGCCGCCTGCTCCGCTAACATCTCGTCCATCTCTTGTTCGTAGTCACCCTGACCCCACAGACTCTGGAGAGCTGGGAGGAAAAAGACCAAAGACACAGAGAATGAAAACTAAAGAAAATCCTCTTTTGCTCTCATTCAAGACATATTTGGTACTATGTAAAGGATATAAAATAGAAGAAAATAAGAAAAAATAAGGAAACAAAGGCTCAATGATCCAAAATGTGTTGGGAAACCACATCCTACACTGTCACATGACCATGAAGGGGCATATTTAGCAAATATGTGGTTCATACTTGATAAAGCATGATTACATGCTTTATTCTGTAAAAAACACATTATTTTCTCATACTATCTGTTTGAATTAACCTGTATTACGACTGAAATGCTCGGTTTAAGCTTTAAGAGTCCACATTTTGTGCACAATAACCTCATCCTCAAATATTACAAGCAGAATTTCAAGTAGTGCATTACTTTGTTTTTATTACTCAGACTTTAAAAGACTGTTTTGGTTACTGTGCAGTTATTTGTGGGATAATACTAACCTTTTTTGCATGCCTTTTCATCGCCTTTCTCTATGAATAAGTATCTAGGAGCTTCCGGGAGAAAAGGCAACACCAAAACCTGAACCAGTGAGAAGAACGCAGGGACACAGAGGACGACGTTCCACAGGTCCTCGCGACCTAGGATCTCACTAAAAAAAATAACAACCCTTCACAATGTTGTGTTTTTGTATGCACAATTCTCAGATATGAATAAGATGGCTAATTACTGTTGTCATTTCCCACGTATAGACAAAAGGTACAAACCTCAATCCAAAAAACTGTCCAAACAGTTTACCAAGAGAGAAAAAAGTGGCTGATGTTAGAGTCACTGCCCCTCTTATCTTTATGAGAGCAATCTCTCCCAGGTACATTACATGGGTGCTGCATCCCAAACCTGCAAGTCATGCGATCTCATGAGTCAGGTGAAAACATGATGTGCTGTTTATTTTAGAGAAAGTCCTGATAGCTTACCTGCAGAGAAGCCATACAGGATCCTTGCCACTATGATCATTTCATATGATTTAGCCTGTTTGCTTGCCAGCATGACCCCCGCTGCAGCAATGGAAATAATGCTGTTGCTGATCATCGCTTTTTTTCTGGTTAGGAAATACATAATTCAGTGAGGTGTTTTAAGGCGAAAGGACAGCTTTTTGCAGAGGGTGTCTCTTATTTACCTTCCAAACCTGCCAGAGAACAGTTTGACACTGACGGCACCAAAGAGACCCCCGACAGCATACATGGAGACGATGAGGGACCAGATCATGGTGACCGTCTGTGGAGGCGGAGGCTCTTCATATCTGTCGTACCAGCTGCTGTTGATGAAGCGCTGAATGTACTGCAAGTTTGAACGCAGATGTTGCATGTGGAACTTGAACATTTTTTATTAAAAGTGCTTATTATTTTCACATTCAAACATACAGTGACGGGACATAAACATGTGGTGTAGGGGGTTTCAACAGAGAGCAACCGGTGAGGGAGAACTCAATCCGGTGATGTGGTAGCCATTTTGAAAGGTTCCTCCAATTCCCAGTATGATGATGAGGAACAGAGCATTACCACGGGTCTACAAAGCAGAGGGAATAGTGATTATGGGATAGTGGTGGTCTAATGGATAGTGAGGTGGGCTGAAGATCGGAAGGTTGTGAGTTCAAATCCCGCCAGGAACACTAGTGTGCCCTTGAGTAAGGCACTTAGCCTTCAGTTACTCCAGGGAGAATGTAAGTCGCTTTGGATAAAAGCGTCAGCTAAATTAAATGTAATGTAATAATAATAATAATGATAATAATAAATGGAATTTATAAAGCGCCTTTCACAGGACCCAAGGTCGCTGTACAGGTGGACAGACAAAACAAAACAGACAATGAGGAGCGAACAGAACAAGAACAAAATAGAATAGAATAAAGGAAGCCAGGGGACCAGGAAAGGACTAGGGTCCGAAGGTCATGGTGAACAGGTGCGTAATGTAATGATTAGACACAGACAAGTCTATTGGTGAACACTTTTAGCCTCCTTTATTATATACCTTTATTAGTAAAATGACTAATACCCCATTGTTAATAAAGTATATCATTATGTGAGCAAAATGAACTGAAATAATAAAAAAGCAAAATAAGTAATTTATTGATACAACAAAACATTTGTTTTACTATAATATGAAGTTATGGGATAAATACTACTGCTGAAATTATGTGTGTTGAGGTTTATTGCTGTAGTTGCTAAAAGGTTTTTGATCATTATTATAATTTTATGTACTGTTGGGATTCACAGAAATGCATTTTATTCCATAAAATCAGCATATTTGTAAGGTGTCGCTATCCTGCATGTGTGACAAAACAACAATATTACATGTCATAACAACTGCTAAACCTCTTTCTACTTGATTTTAAAATGATATTATACTTAATAAATGTCATATATATGTATATCTATATCTCTTTTGCTTAAAGGTGGGGTAGGTAAGTTTGAGAAACCGGCTCGAGATACACTTTTTGTTATATTGCATGGAATGCTCTTAACATCCCGATAGCAATGAATATCTTAAGTGCTTTGACAAAAGATCCATAAAAAAATGTCATCTGTGGAAGCCGTAGTACTGTAAAAAGCACGACCAATCATTTTAGCCGGCCCGGCTAAAATAACTGGATGGCCTACCTGCCTGTCAGCCTTCCATCTGTGCACAAACTTATCTCGTGCCCTCATTGGTCATGTGGGCGTTCGTGTGTGTTGGAGGAGGGGCTCTGTAAGGAAGTGGCAGATTTTTTCCAGTTGTGTATTTTCAAATTCTTGCACACTCGAGCTGGTTTCTCCAAAATTACCTACCCCACCTTTAAATCTTAATGTGTTTATTCCCTTTCCTACATTTTGCATTGACTGACAAGTTCAAAATGTATTCAGAAACTGACAAAGTGCAATGACTCAGCTTAATCTTGGGTTTGAATGAGGCGCTTCAATCGGACCGCTTAAAAATATCCTGCTTGCCTAAAAAAACGTTTTTCTTTTTCTCCTGATATTAAAGGGCCCATGTCATGGCCATTTCCACTGATCATAATTCCATTGTTGAGGTCTGTAGAATAGATTTATATTGTGCAATTTTCCAAACTCACATTGGTTTCTCATACAGCATCTCTGTAAACTACGTGTATTCACTGAATTTCACTCTCTGCCTTTAACGGCTCGTTGTAGCTCCAAAGCTCCAGCCCCCACCCTCCCTGTGAGCACAGTGTGCTCTGATTGGTCGGGACGTTGTGAATCGCGCTGAGCTCCGTGGAGGTGTTGTTTCCTTGTTTAGGATACACAGCGAAACACAGCCAAACTCATCCTGAGCACACACAAACTCACAGCCGGATTAAAAACAATAAGTGTGGCTTGATATTGAGTAAGAAAAAGGTTGATAAACGCTGTGAGAATGGGTCTGCAGAGAGAATTTTGCCGCGATCCCAACTGTCTGTTATCAGCCTGCAGCCAGGGAGGAGAAATCAGCTGAGCTGCCTGCTCCCTGCACACAGATGTGTGTGTGAGGAAGTCCGTTTAGTCTAGAAATAAAATAGTTATGTTTATAAAAGATATTCACACAAACACATTTTGTTATGGCTTATATCATATCATATACATGAATATATACATTTATAAAGATGATGATTGTAAAGATGATTCAGATGTGGCTCACCAGTTGTTTCAGTTGTTGAAAGCTCCCCATTCTGTCTTCACTTGCATGGACTTAAAATAAATGTTCAGACTATACGGACTCTGTTAAGCATTTGAGGAAAGTTATCATTAACTTTTCAGACCATCTGACAGGAAATAAAGTAACCAGCAGACACCTCACAATCCTGGCTTCATGACAACGTTTTTTATTACTCTTTATAACGAAAGCTTTTCTGTTTGATTTATGGTATAAAAACACTATAAAGCATTCGTGAAGTGCATTGTTTTATATGCATCTGAAAGCAGGTAAACTGCAGCCACAGAACCAGCGGGAATTCTCTGGGCGGATAACATTTCATATTATTCAACCTATTGCTATTTGCTATTTTTTTTCTTCATCTTATTATATACATATATAATTTATATATACAACACACTCGGATGTTGTAATTGTATTCACTGGGACTTTTTTGTATTTAAAAAACTATTTCTTCTTGATATATTTAACACACTATGCAATGATCTTTTACATATTTTAATACATAGTATACTATATTTGACGTATTATACAACATACACTGTTGTCTATAAAGTTGGAATAAAATATGTTTCACCTCTGAAGAAATGATTGGAGAGGAAAAAGAGGAATGTGTCTGAAAACTAAATTATTCCAACATTTTAAGCAAAAGTGTACTATACTATAACTTTTTTTGAATACATTTCGACATACTATACTATCTATATATGTATAGAGAATATACTAACCTAACAGATATTTTTTCCTTTACATTTTCGACAAACTATCCTAAGATTTATTTTCCTATTTTGACATGCTATAATTGTATGACCTTTTTCATGATATTATCGACATACTACAATACTTTGACTAAGTTTGACATACTTTACGTTGAGTTTTTTCATAATCATTTTGAAATATTATATAAACTCTTTCTGGTTATTATTAAGCATGTATTCTAAGAAAAATACATTTAGCTTTTTATTTCTCAAGTTTGATTTGGCAGTGAAATTTACAAGTAACACTTTGATTTTAATATGTCCTCTTTTTGTGTGTAATTTAGCCAAAACAGAAGTAAAAGTACAGTAACACATCTGTGTATAAAGCCTAAAATCATAGTGCATACATTTACAGGGGTGTAGTTCCAGCTCCAGTCCAGCAGGGGGCAGTGAATGATTCCCTGGTTATTAATGGTCCGCCTGTCCTCCGCTCTTTCCCCCCCTCTTTGTCTGACGCTCCGGCGGAAGCAACACAGTCACTGTTTTCCGTAGTCATCGTTGACAAACGCTAGCTGTTAACGGCGAGTAGTGAATTGCACAAAGACAGCCGTTTTTTCTTTGTTTAACCATTATCTGAACCAAACATGCCTCAGGAAAATCTGGAGGAAGAGGGTCTGCCCAAGAACCCCGATCTGAGGATAGCACAGCTGAAGTTTCTGCTCACAATGGACGGGCACAAACAGGACGTTAAAGTGAAGACCGAGCTCATGGACGCTATCACAGCTAACAGTGAGTTAGCATTTCACTGAGTGACTTGTAACGGTAGCAGTAATAGTCTGGTTGTCATTATAAACATGGTGTTGGTGGTATTAATGATCATTTACTCGCATACACGGGGTGCTTAGTTGCTCATAAATTATTATACATATGTTTTAATGTATTCCAACTAAACACAAACAAACAGCTCAACCCAATTAGCATGTTAGCTTGACGCTATTAGCAAACGTCAGCTAGCCGACAAGCAATCAGACATAGGGTTGTTCAACTTTTAGTAAGATTTTGAGTACATTCCTTTTGTTTTTTTACAAGGCATTTAAGTGTAGAAAATAACAGAACCTTGTTTATTTTAATGAAATCTGTAGTGTTTTTCTGTTTTAAACCTTACTGGGTCGTAAATATATTCATATTAAACTATTTGTATACTATCATATGTATATATGTTTCTGCAACTGTAGTATATTATATATTTCTGTTGCTGTAGTATATTTCTCTCTGTATAGAACATTCAAATGTGTATTCTTTGTGATATGTCTTTTCTACTGTAAATATGTATATATTGGCCGTTTTTATTCCACCTTTTCAATATCTTAATGCCTGAACACAACAAATATTCATATTTGGGGATGAATAAATGATCTCTCTGTCTATATGAGAAGCAAAAGCTTTTAGTTACATTATTAAAACTGAGAGCTGTCCCAGTCCACAGGTAAAACGACTCTTGTTTTCTCTCTGTTTCAGACATGGCACCGTATTATGAGGGTCTGTGTAAGGATCTGAAGTGGCCCGTGGACGGTGACCTGCTGAGTAAAATGAAGAAGGCCAACGAGGAGGAGCTGAAGCGCCTGGATGATGTCCTTGAGGACGCAGAGAAGAGCCTGGGAGAGAGCGAGATCCGAGACGCCATGATGGCCAGAGCTGAATATCTGATCAGAATCGGAGACAAGGTAAATCCTCCCTATTCAGCATATTGTCCTATAAAGCTGTGAAAATTCAAACCAGCCAAATGTGGGTTGTGTTTTATGGTAAGATGATCCTCTGTGACTGTTTGACACCTGAGCAGATATCATTGCTGTGTCATATAAACACATCTTTATATAGGTTAGCTGTAGACAACATATTTTGTTTTCTGACATAGTGTCAAGTAGTCAGACTCAAATAATGTAAAGAGGGTCTATGTTGTTTTCCTTTCTTTCAAAATCAAATTTGTGTCAGAGTTAATAATGAATAGAAATGTCACCATGAAAAACATGCACTGAAACTTCACTTCAAATGTTGATAAATCCACACCTTTTTTACTTCAGGGTGCACACTTGTTCATTGTTATGTGTGCTATTTGGTTTTAATAACATAATAATGATAAGTGTACCTTTTCCAGGAAAATATGACTCACTGATGTCCTTCCTGCCTGCCATTGACTTAAAGCTCGTTTATTGTTCATCTTTGGCCAGATGGATGTAGTAACATAAAATGCAGAGTAGCTGATTTATTGACAATGTCTTTCTGTCTCATGCGTCCACAGGAGGGTGCTCTCACAGCCTTCAGGAAGACTTATGACAAGACAGTGGCTCTGGGTCACAGACTAGATATCGTCTTCTACCTGCTGAGGATCGGACTCTTCTATATGGATAGCGACCTCATCACGCGCAACTCAGAGAAAGCCAAGAGGTAAAGGCTCTTATGTCTTTGTTCTCAAACATCTCTCCACCAACAGCCTGTTATATTTCCAATCCGCATCTCTCTGTGCGCTTGCTTCTCTCCGCAGCCTTATCGAGGAGGGGGGAGACTGGGACCGGAGGAACCGCCTGAAGGTCTACCAGGGTCTGTACTGTGTGGCCATCAGGGACTTCAAGCAAGCTGCAGAGCTGTTCCTCGACACAGTCTCCACCTTCACCTCCTACGAGCTCATGGACTACAAGACCTTCGTCACCTACACAGTCTACGTGTGCATGATCGCTCTGAAAAGGCCTGACCTCCGTGAAAAGGTAGAAGAACTCAGAAAAGGCCATCGAGGACGTTTTGTGTCAATGATTACTGGATTTGTGCTATGCTTTCACCCAGGTTGTGGATACTAAAACATGTTATTTGTATAGGTCATAAAGGGGGCAGAGATCTTGGAGGTGCTGCACGGTCTGCCTAATGTACGCCAGTATCTTTTCTCCATGTACGAGTGCCGTTACTCCGTCTTCTTCCAGTCTCTGGGTAAGGAAAGCTTTTTATTTTCTTGTCCTAATAGAGAACCGCAGTGACGCGTCCTAAAACCCGGAAGTAAGTTTGCATTTTTACCACGTCCGGTTCCTTCGACAAAAAGCAATGCAATTTCTCCATAGGATTTTGGAAAATAGCTCGAAATAAGGTCTGTTTGACACAAATTGAAGAGACGGATCACGTTTTGTTGTACGACATTAAATCCATCAGCAGTGACCCCGCTGGTGATTTTTGAAGAGTTTACGTGTCTGAAAAACGATGGTTGTTAACATGTGGCTGAATAGGACTACAGAAATTGTCCAGGCCGTTTTACGTCATTACACCGAACACGTAAACACTCCCGCTAAGTTTGTTTGCCCTGTTCAGCTTGAAAGCAAGTACCTGCCTCCTGCAAACTGTTCAAACAAACACTTCAACTTGTACCATTTAGAATCTGTATTTTTGAATATGGATCTTAAGTTGGCGTGACGTTGAAGCACCCTGCTGTAGTTCGTTTATAGCATAACGTTAGCATTTTGCTTCTGGCGACTAGATTTATGATTAGAAAATTATAAAAGTAGGGTAGACATGTGGATATTATCCGGCTGAACAAAACGTGACCCGTCTCTTAAATGTGTGTCAACCACAGACCTTATTTCGAGCTATTTTCCAAAATCCTATGGAGAAATTGCATTGCGTTTTTGACGAAGGAATCGGAAGGAGTTTACTTCCGGGTTTTAGGACGCGTCACTGCGGTTCTCTATAAGCAAACACTTAATCTGGTCACTTGTAGAGTCATTTAGCTGTTTAGCACTCTTCGGTCTCTCGAGTAATTTCATATATTGATAGGTCAGAGTAACATTTAACTTGCATCCATGTGTTGCTGTATTATTTTGTTCCTGCTCTGCCACATCCTGACCTGTGACCTCTTTGATCCTCAGCCACGGTGGAGCAGGAGATGAAGAAGGACTGGCTCTTTGCACCCCACTACCGCTACTATGTGAGGGAGATGAGGATCCAGGCGTACAGCCAGCTGCTCGAGTCCTACCGCTCCCTCACCCTGGGCTACATGGCCGAGGCCTTCGGAGTCAGCACAGAGTTCATCGACCAGTGAGTGCATGTACACCTTGTTCTGTTGGAGATAAATAATGTATCTTCAACGCTGGAGCCTCTGTCACTGCACAAATCCTCGCTGTAGTTTTTACCTCACAGTTTAAGAGCACATGTGTATACCTCGGCCTGAGAATCTCAAGTGATACATTGTTTTAGATGAATCAACATAGTATTCATTTCATTAACAAAGACTATTTTTGTGAACAACCTTTTTTCAATGACAGACAACATGGCACTTCTTTTAAAGCTATC